CCTCCTCCTCCTCCTCCTCCTCCTCTTCTTCTTCTTCTTCTTCTTCTTCTCCAGAGCAAACTGATCTATGCAGTAGCCAAATCGCTCGCTCACAGCTTCAATGCCCAGTAGCTCACAAAGTTGAATTTTTGCTCACAAGACTCCACAGCTTAGACGGAGCACTGATTACCACCACCAACAACAAACTGGCTGCCATTTATTTGTTTCATGTTTAGTGATTTGAAACATTCATTATCTGCCTTTTCTCTATGCAGAGCTCAAGGCAGCTTACAATATAGATAATATACATAAAGTACAATAGAAGAAGAGAAGAGATTGGATTTATGCCCCGCCCTTCACTACCCAAAGGAGGCTCAGAGTGGCTTACAGACGCCTTTCCCTTCCCCTCCCCACAACAGACACCCTGGGAGGCAGGTGGGGCTCTCTCTCAAGAACTGCCCTTGAGAGAACAGCTCTGACAGAACTATGGCTTGCCCAAGGTCATCCAGCAGCTGCGAGTGGAGGATTGGGGAATCACACCCGGTTCTCCCAGGTTAGAGTCCACGCGCTTAACCACTACACCAATACATAAAATCATATAAAGCCACAATTTTAGACTGCCACCAAATTAATCTAACGCAGCCCACAATAAAACCGCCTTCTGCTGCCTCCTAAAGATCGGAAGTGAGGGGGCCAGGTGGACCTCCCTGGGGAGGTTATTCCATTATCATGGGGCTGCCACTGAAAAGGCCCTCTCCCATGGGACCACCAGACAAGTTCCTTTTGCCGATGGGACAGTCGAAAGGGCCTCTTCCCTGTGATCTGAATTGATAAAATCGATTTCTAAAGAGCACGAACCTCACATTGGAGGGAGGAGTGCCCAACGAATTTCTAGAGCCCACTCTGAACCAGGCCAGATCACTCTCTGAGTCCCAGCCTCGCTCGGAATGGGCTCTCTCTGCAGCAAGCCCTTCCCGTCACTGATTCCTCCTCTTTCCCACCCAGACTGCCTGCTGGCATCGGGAAAGGCCAATAGCAGGCCTCCATTAGAACGCCACTAGATATGGTAACATGGGCCGTATCCCGGGCACCAGGCTCTCTCCCACTGTTGGCTGCCAGCCAGGCCTTCAGGAACTCACCCCAAAGCCTGTTGAAACCAAAACGGATTTGGAGAAATGCTCCTGCCTTACCAGTGTTTCAAGACGGGCTGTAAACCTACCTCCTCCGCCATGGATTTGAGCCTGGCGAGCCAGTCTTCGGCCTGATCCAGGACCATCTGCAAGTCGGCGTCTTCGTGCTTTAGTCTCAAGGCTGCCTGGGCGATCTGGTCGAGGTTGGTGGTGCGGAAGCGGTAGAGGCAGCGGTCCAAGTGGGTGCTGGCGGGCTTCCGGGTGACATCCACCAGTGGCTGGCTGTGGAAGGCAACAGCAGAGGGGAAGCCGTGGTTTGAACCTGCAGTCCGTGTTTGTCACAACCAGAGAGGGAAGGTCTGAGCAAACCATTGCTAAAGGGGGGGGGGCTCCTCTCTGTGCCACCAGCCCAGGAAGCACCACAGGTGGACTTTCATCAGGACGGCCAATTCCTAGTTGGAAAATTCCTGGAGATTTGGGAGGGGGGAGCCGGGGAGGGCAGGGTTTGGGGAAGGGAGAGACCTCAGCAAGGTATAACGGCACAGAGTCCACCCTCCAAGGCAGCCATTTTCTCCAAGTGTGGCCCCGGTCACATGGAGCATTAGGCACGCTAGAGAGATGGAAGATAGGCAGATTTTCCGGGCGCAATCTCACCGCCACATCTGGGAAGCGTAGCGCTCCTGTGGCTCACCCAAGGCTTCACTCTGAAGATGCGGGGTAAAAAACTAGTACCTCCGAGGTACTAGTTTCCGAAAACCGCGGGGCATGGGCGGGCGTCAGATCACGTTTCCGGTGTTAGCTCGTGGCATCCGGCGCCCGCCCATGTCCCGTCGTGAAAAGTTTGTGTTTTTTTTGTCAAGTCTCCACGGGTGCGCACAAGCACCCAACAGCGCATGCGAACACTTGGGTTAAAAAAAACAACACAACCCTCGCGGTATGATCGGCACCTCCCCCCAACCAGGGGACGTCGTCGGGACGTCGGGCGGGACGTTTGATCCGGCTGCCGAGCGGTAGTTCACTCCGGGGCAAACAGCCACACCTCCCCCCTTGCGATATCCAGCCCGTGTGACCAAGGCCTGTAACTCTAATTTAAGGAAATAGATGAGTAAATATAAATCATGTATGACTTTTAGTATATGTGCTGCCGAAGCGAGCACTCATGTATGACTTAACATCACATAAGGCTCCAAATATTTCTCAAATATACCATAATATTCATCAATACATTCTTTACATTCATTTAGATAGAAGAACACCTACAGAGTCCGGCTATACGTATCCATCATGAATAACGGAAGATAAGGCAGTCTTGAGACATTTCTGTACAATAAGACAACTTGGAGGCATTATTGGCTGAGAAATTCCTGTGGCTGTGCCTCTTTGGGAGTCCCCATTTGCAGTCCTGATGAAGGGATCGAAAAATCATTGAATAATCTGGAAGATGAGTTGACTGCAGCCTATTTCTTATTATTTGTCTCAGGTTCTTAGGACTGGATCTACTTGCAGATTGCAACGTACTTCATATTGTCTATCTTAAGTCCCCCCCCCCCTTAGGGGATTTTTTAATTTGCATTTCTAGAAACTACAACGAAATTAGGGATGGGATCTACAACTATGGGAGAAAGTAAAGAAAATCCACTAACATTCAAGAGTTGGAGGTCTTACATTGCTTATAAAAGTGTTAGCTTAATATATCAATTGCTTTTCTTGACATCGAGAGTGGTCAATCATCATCGTCGATTATGTTAACAATCCATCCAATCTGACTATATAAAGAGCATTCCAGGATAATCGCTAGTTCACTTAAACACAAATTTCAGAGAACGGTGGCATCTCCTTTTACAATTATTTTTCCTTCCTTCATTTAAAGCAAATTAATAATTATATTTCCCTCAGTAGGTGTAACACAGTCAATTTCTCTTCTCACGCTGTTATCTCCGTTCGTCTTAAACATTTTCCCTGTGGCATTGTCTGTCTCAAGTCTTAAGAAGTGGATGTACTTGCTTTATGGACATTTGAAGATCATGTCTGTTAAGTCGTGTGCTTAACAAAGAGTCGGAGAGTGATTCAGCAAGAATTGCGGTTTATTCTTCAGCTTAGTTACGATCGCCAGCCAGAACCATCATTCGAACCACTCGAGCCAAAGGACAAGCACTGGCTGCTCTGTATTTAAACATTCCCGGCTAGTGTAGCCACACCCCCTGTACAAATAACAACCTATGAGGTTGAAGATATAATGCCCAATCACAAGCGGTCCCGCTTTACAGCGTGATTGGTAGACACTCTCTGGGCTAGGACTCCTATTGGTTACATTAGGATCCTAGCCCAGGCTGAAGCTTAACATAGAGTTTCAATGAGACGATTCGCATGTCAGTATTTACATTCAAGTCAATACATAACAAATCCCTCCCCCCTAAGCAAAAACATTATGAACAATCGTAATCGCTTAAGTAGGTGGGCACTCTGCGCACTCTCTGAGACCTCCGTGGCGTAGGAGGTTCAGGGCACCTTAGAATTGGAGGCACTCGGCTTGACTCACTCTCGAGTGGGTCAGGAACGCTACCATCCCTTGCAGTGGGTCCAAGAGTAGGGGTCTGCCCTCCCTCAGGGACAGTACTGGGCTCGGCAGGCTCGGCAGTACTCACCTCCGGCAGAGGTATGGGATCGTTATCTGGGTCCGGTAGCTCGGTTGGCTGCGAGGTGGGGCGGCCAGTCGCCCACCGCTGCCTCAACTGGTCAGTGTGTCGCCTCCACTTGCGACCGTCTGCAAGCTGGACAACATACATTCGGGAACCCACTACCTCGGTAACTGTGGCTGGAAGCCACGAATGTCCCCCTGCATAGTTCTTTGCAAAGACCGTGTCCCCACATTCGTATGTGCGGACCTTAGTGGAAACACTCTGTTGCTGGGGCCTCAGATCGTTTAAGTCTGGATGTAAGCGATCCAGCAAAGACGCTAGGCGTCGCCCCATCAACAACTCGGCCGGGCTGCGGCCTGTAGCCGAACACGGAGTTACATGCTGGCGCAGAAGAAACGACGCCAGTTTCACTCCCCAGTCCCCGGATGTCAGCTTGGCAAGCGCATCTTTGGTCGTGCGGACCATTCGCTCTGCCTGCCCGTTTGATGCTGGGTGGAACGGGGCAGACGTAATTTGCCTGATGCCATTGTTAGCTAGGAATTGAGCAAACTCTTGCGACACGAACTGAGCGCCGTTATCGCTTACCAGGACATCAGGCAACCCATGCG